CCAGAGGTCCTTCGGGGTCCCACCAGAGGTCCTTCGGGGTCCCCGGGAAGGACAGGACCAGGGCTCACCCCCTTGTGAAGGGACCCAGCCCAAAGCTGGGAGCTCCAGGGTACCTGTAATTCTCCTCTTCCTCCGACTCCAGCAGACGCAGCAGTATTTGCACCTCTCAAAAGGCAGCACCGTTGTTAATAAATCCCTCCTCTCAATTCCAAACAGGAGGAGGCCTTCTCGGGGGATTTTACCAGGCAACAAACACACAAACAACTGTTGGGAGTAAAAAAATATGTTTTTTCCTTTTAATTACATCAGTTATCAAAGAAAAAAAGCAGTGGTAACAAAAATACAAAGCTCTGAGGGTTTCTTGTTTTGTTTGTTTTGTAATAAGCTGAGCATCAGTGCAATTGTTTTAATTTAACTTCTGCTCTGAGTCTCTGCTGGCAGAATATGAGTAGGCTTTGCCCAGCACCAGACGGTCACGCAGCAGCTTGAAGAAGGCGTAGTAATTGCTGAAGAGGATCAGAGCCAGCGAGATAGTCTGGTGCCACTTCTCTGAAGAAATCAGTGAGTAAAGCTGGTAGAAGATGACGGCTCCCTCCAGCAGAATCAGGATGTTGAGGATTCTCAGTGGTTTGCTGAAAAAGAACTGTGGGAGAGACCACAGTAAGGCACCGAGCGAGGTCAGACCCTTGGGGACACGTTTTCAACAGGACATGCGAGGCAGAGGCTGGTGCGGATCCCTCTGGATTCCCCTCTGGAGGCGCCACATTTACCCGTGAAGGGCTCTGGAGAGAGCCCCAGTTTGCAGGGGCCAGAGTCGCCTCTGGCAGCGCCGATGGGAGACGTGGGAACTAACGGGAAAGACCGTACTGAGCCCGGCTCGTTCTACCGCCCCGGCACACCCCACGGGCAGCTCTCCTGCTTGGGAGAGCCAGCTCAGGCGGCCTGAGGCGTCCAGGACAAGGGGAGCGTGAGCCTGCTGAGGATCCCCAGAAAGGAGACGTGATCTTACGTGAAAGCGGAAGTGCGAGACGTCCGAGGGCACCGCCACGTTGTAATGACCCACAGCTTTGTACACGTTCTTGCTGTGTTTCACTAACACTCCCTGCGGCCACATGCACTCCTCTGTCCACCTGCAGGGAACAAGAGAAGAGCTCTTATTTCTACCTCGGCGGCTGGAGGGGGGGGTCTGCGGCCTCCCCACCGTCAGCTAGGATCTCGTACGAGCTGCTTCAGCGGCGTTGGCCACAGTAGTGAGCTGCCGTCATTTCTGAGGGCAGAGTTTGGCCCACCGAGGCGTGTAACTATGGCAGTGACAAACGGCAGTTACCTGGGGCCAGAAGCGGCAGGCATCTTGCCAAAAATCAGATCTGCTCGCTGCGCTGGGAAGTGGGCAGCACAGATAGCGTCTGTACGCTGTCGGACGCGTCAGCCGACAACTCTGCTTTCATTTTTCTTTCTCTTTTTTTTTTTTTTTTTTTTTTTTTTTAAGCAACAAGAGGAGGAGGAAAGGTGGCTGGAAAGCTGAGCTCCCCATCCAGCCTCTGTTCACGCCAGAAGGCATGGAAGCTAAGAGCCAACTCCAGCCCGAGCCCCGGGAGAGCGTTCCTTACTGATGCTGTAGCACGTTGGAGCAGAGGGCTGGATCGACCTTCTGCCAGCAGCCCAGGTGCGCGGCGGCTTTGTGGAGCAGGTCACAGTAGCGCGCAGGTAAGAGGTACTGCATCAGGATGACAGACGTGCTGATGGAAACCAGAAGGAAGAGCTCACACGACCAGCGTTTGTCATAGTACTGAGTGTTCTGTGGGGGGACAAGAAGAATGTGTGACAACGTGTTTGGACAGCCTCACCTAACAAAGCCATCAAAACACAAAAGCACTCAGGCAGGTAAAACGAGGGCTTTTCATGTAGCTATTAATCCCGCCTGAAAAAGAGGCGCCCACATAGGATGGCTGCTGTACAACTCCTGAACACACCACAGCAAAACATTTATGCTATCATCACCCATCACCAAAAATAGGGAGTTAGCTCCTGCTGCTCCCCTAGCTCAGCTGAGGATGGGTGGGAGCGCCAGCCCCTCGGGGGAAGTAGACTTGGGCTCATCCCCGAGGTCTGACAGATTTGCTGCGAGACGTTTGTCTCATTGTACGACATATTAGTAACTGAAATAAAACTGCCAAGAACCCTAAGAAGGTCCATCCTCCTTCATACTGCCTCCCTTATTAAAGTCAATCCCCTTGTCCTGGAGCTCTGTCCCCACAGGACAAGAGGTGTGAAGGAACAGTCGGCCTGGAGTCCTTTCCACCTTCACGGGGAGGCAGGAGGGAGACGCCGCTCACTAGCAGATGGATGCGCACTCTCAGGACAGTCAGAACACTTTACCAGGACAGTATTGTCCTCTGTCATCTGCAGTTTAAGCAAAGTTAAACCTAGATGGTTACAATTCTGACTTTTCACAGTGTTTGTAACGGGTAAATGGGTTTGATATGGCCGCCTGTGTGCACGGACCAGCCCTCTGACTTCACCTCACCCATGTTCCAACTGAGCGAGAAGCCAGACCCAGGCTTCCTCCACAACCTGGTGTCCACCTCCCCACAGTCCTCCCCAGCCAGTCCCATGCCTGGAGAAGTGGCGCCTGCAAGAGCAGAGGTGGCCCTTGCTCACCTTCACAAACCAGACCGGCACAAAGGCCACGTAGTAGGCACTGAGCATGGAGCTCACCAGCACCTCTTTCATCCGCCAGTTAAAGTCCATTTTCAGGTATTCCACCTCATTGCGGATGAGATCTGGGGAGAGGCAGCAGGCGTGAGTGGGCATGGCCTCCATGCCGTACATCTGTCGAGTGTGCTGCTTCCAGGTTTCCTTTAGGACGGTCAGGTAGTCTCTGCTCCTGGAGTTCACCTCGCCGGTCTCTCTGGGACCGATGTTGGCCACCTGGGAGAAGAGGCCCGTCTTCCGAAAGTCACAGTTCAGCTGAAGGAAGGGAATGTACATGCCAAACCTGGAGCAGCAAAGCGCAGAAAGGTGGTTACTTCCCTATGAGCTCCCCATGCAATGCCTTTGCTGGCAGCAGATCAGCATCACCATCACCCCTCCCTCCCAAACGACATATAAACTCCAGTAAAGAGCTTCACCAATCTGATCTCAAACGCAAGCACCAAGTCTCAGATCTTTATGAGATGCTTCCTCCTGCATCTACCAGAGGGAAGGGAGCTATTTCCACTGCTTGACTGGAAATAGAACTGGCTTCCTTTTGTTAGTTAACATGAAGCAGGGAAGCTCTTTGATTCACTCCACCTGGCAGAGGCACCTAAGGGCTAGGGTAAACCGAAGACGTGGGTTCTCGGAATGCCATCAGAAAAGCACACAATCATTTTCAGAGGACACGAGCAATCTAATAATTAATGCTAATATCAAAGCTGAAATATGGGTAAAGGTTAAAGATATGCCCTGCCAGCAAGAACAACCGTGACACAGCAAGAGGGAAAAGGGTGGTGTATGTTCTGTTACCAGGTAATCGAGCGCTTATCAGGCTTCGCTTCAACTGAGCAACACCCACTGCACTGAAGCAACATTAGAAATCACACACAAGTGACAGAAGAGCTACTTACGGGTAACACAGGAACAGGAGATTAAGGAAAGAGTAGGTTCTGAAAAGGTGAATTATTGATCGACACAAACTCCAGCCTGTGCCGGTGAGAACAGCAAACCGAGTGATCACCAGGAAAACAGAGCGTGGCAGGGAGACTTTGCCACTCTGTGAAGCCTGCGGGGAGAGAGGAAAGAGGTGAGCAGAGGGGAAACTCAGTCACTCTTCCTACAGGAGGCAAATGAGCAGCATTCAACCTGTAAAATCAACTTCACATGCATGAAGAAAGCGCTAGTGAAAGGCTCTGACTGCCACGGGGAAGGGGAGGGTGCCTGTGGGCTGGAATCTGGCCTCATTCCTCAAGCTGGAATGGGGAGAGCTCTCTGAGTTTCTTGTTGAGGTCTGGTAGTTATCGGTGTGACCAGCCCACTCTCCTGGACCTCCTCACCACAGAAAGCTTCTGCAGTCAGCAGAAACCGAACTACACTGGTTCCTCCTTGCAGGAAGCTAGAGTAATTAACAGAACAGGAAAAGAGCCAAATACTGTTCTTCACAAGGAGGAAAGCAGAATGACTACAGTCTAGTTGAGACACTAACCCAGAAACAATCACATAAGGACAGAGAGAGTCATGAGCAATGGTTTGAGATGCTCATTTCTGTTCTCTGTTCTTCCCATCAGAAGCTGTGCCCAGGTTTCTGACTTGGACACAGCGCAGAGTTCTTTAGAAACGGACAGAACAGTTTGGAATTGCAAAAGGGATGCACAGCTTTACATTTGGCCTAGGAGGAAAGAACAGTTCTGAGATCTGCTTGGGGACTTTACCTCCTTCACAATAGCACCGATCAGCCGGCGTGCCAGGACGATCGTCGTCACTGTCAGCACGTTGAAGTCGATCAGATGAAAGTTCTGTGGTGACAAAACCAAAATGATTCCACTTTGCATGAGGCAGCGGAAACCCACGTTCAACAGAGAAGCTCCCAAGTTATTCTCTTCTCCTTGGACTCTCTCTTCCAAGATCAGAAAGAGAATTCCAAGCAGCCAGTGCCCAAAATTTGCCACATAAGAGTCATGTGAGCAACCCTCCAGGGCTGTAGAGTCACGTGTAGTTTGCATCAAACATATACAGAAAACTTTATGCCTAACGACCCAAGAGGCAGTCTGTGAGAATCACCAGACAGCAGCTGTCCTTTGGTGCTTACCAGTGACGTGTGCGAAGGCGGATGGGAGGGTGGGTACCACCACACAGTTTTGTAGATGTTGATGTAGTGGACAAACAGAGCAACGAGGTGACAGAAGAAGAGCTGAAGTTCAAACAGCACGCTCCTCTCCACAGGCAGCTCGGGGATCTTACAGTGCCGGAGGGGGACGACTGTCTGCGTCGCCAAAGGTGGGCTGGAAAGGCCTGTACCTGAACCGCCCCTACCAAGGTAAACCAAAAGCCAGCAGTCACTTCCCCGAGATAAACACAGCGCTGTCCTCCCGCCCACGTCCTCAGGCTGCAGAAGTCTAGCGTGGGTCTAATATTGACTGAGAAACCAAAGCTGACGGTCGCGGTCAATGGCTGCCACAAACCAGAAGTGTCAGCACCCCGAGGATGTCTAGGACAACTGTTACAGGCAGAGGTGAGCAGGAATTTGCCCAGCAAAAGCAGTATTTGGAACCAGGCCCATCTACCGCACCGGGTCAGTTGGTATTAAATCCCTTGCGTTGAGTCAGGTTCAAAAGCCGTGGCTGTGTTTTGCTATTCAAGGGGCAACCGGTGGCCCTCTTAATTAATTGGAAGCTTTTAGGCCTCCAGTTGCTATTTACATTTCTAAGAGGGCTTGAACATGAAATATGGAACAATTAAACACAAGCCCTTTCTCATTTTTCAACCTCTCTTCAGCGATGGAGGAAAAACAAGTTTAGTCAGAGGTGCGTATTCCTGTGTGAGCATGCATACAATCCCAGACAGCAACCCTTTTAATCAAAGGGAAGGGAATTAATATATACTAGATACATCTCTCCTGATTTGCAATCTCTAAATAACAACAGTCAAAGGAATCTGGGTGTGGGTTTCAAAGGAACTACAGAGCACAAACTCCTGTTGAAAACCCCAAACCGAAACCACAGAAGTCTTGGGAGTGTGACTGCCGAAAGACTTCTAGCCCGGGGTGGACACAGGTGGATCAGCCCATGCTTTTTAAAACAGAAGGCTGACAGCCTAAAACAAGGCCATGCGTGAGGGAAAACTTGAGGAACCCAAGCTGTATCTCTAAACCCCTCAGATTCCCAAGCTGACAGCACTGATTCAGCTCCTCAGGATTGATAAATCCACCAATAAACCCTGTTCCTGAACACAGAACAAGAGTTCCTATTCTAGTCCTCCAGAAAAGGGCTTTAAATATAAACACAAAGCCTTTTCTGCTTTGAACAGACACACAAGACCTAAGGGTGCTCTTGCAAGAGCAGCAACAAGGCTCTCGTACAAATAAAGCACTTTGGGACACCTCGGCCTGGACCGGCATGCAGGTGATGGGTATCAGAGGGTAAGGCCACAGTGACAACTCACTTGGTGGTAGCTGGGGCGTGGATTTGTACCGCATTACCTGCTTGTGATAAGGACCTTCGTGCATGCTCTCACAGCAAAGTATGTACACGGTGGATCGCTCCACCTTCTGTGGCCTTGCAATAACTTGTTTGAATAACTGTATCCCTATAAATTTCTTGGCCTAGGGCCATAAGCAGGGAGTATGTTAAGACAGATCTAACATTTTCTTTGCAGAGAGTTCCTAAGGCACCTCCTGCTTATGTACTGCTGTCGGTGCTCCGCTTCTCCTTCCTCCTCTCTACCTCAGTCACAGAAATGCAACCAAGCAGCTAGGCTAGAACCTGAAAAAAACCCCACAGCCTACGCATCACCAGACCCAGCTAAACTCTACCCCAGAAATGCTTCACCTCATGTAAACTTCAGGGCACAGGAGATGCAACAACCAGAACTCCAGAGTCAGGCTTTGTATAAAAATTTGTCTCTTATTCTTACTTTCCATTCAATGGTCACAGGCTTTTGAACACTCCTGAAGCCTGTCATGGTCTGATAGAGCACTTGGGCTCATTAGAACCCACCTATACCGATTACAACGTGTAGGAGGGACACTACCACATATAGAAAAAGGATTTCAGCTAGACACCGGGAGTTACCAAATCCCTGAGCCACAGGAAACCCAGAAGTGTGTGAGATGGGGAGATACAGATGGCGTCACACCCGCCTCAGAGAGGAGCAGCTGGCCTGGCTAGATGTGAAGACGTGGAGAGCTGGACATACCTGGTGCGTGAGCGAACACCCGTGACAGAGGAACTCGTGGAATGGCCGGAGCCGCCAGCGGCCCCAGGCTCACAGAGGGGATTTCGGCAGTAGGACGTTCGGTTAGGGCCCCGCCTTCCCCCTGCCATAACAACAGAGGGCGAGGAGGGTTGTTCTTCCAGGTGGCTTCTCTGCTGTTCACTGCGTGATTATGTCTTCAGTCCTTAAAACTGAAAGGAAAAGATTTATAATTAAGGCTCATCTGCTTACCAGGCTCCTGGTGACCGGCCATAACCCATCACTCACACTGCTAGCTTGCAGCACAAAGCAGGGTAATGCAACTTTGCTCAACCCTTTTCTACAGCTCCTGTATTTGCCACAGGCTATAGATGCGGCCCCAGATAGCTCCTGATGCTCCTAGGGCAGGCAGCAGCTTGTTAAGGTGCTGTGAATTCACTGGGAGTCTAAACCCTAATGTATGCAGGCTTCCACCGGAGCAGGAAGAAGCTCTTCATGCCTCTCTCCCAACCCAAGGCAGTTTACAAGGAATTTAATCTGCATCGCTGTGGTGTTATCCCTGTTTTACAGGCAGAGCAATACACTTACAGAGATACTAAACAATTCGCCCAAAGGATTCAGCGCATCAGGGATATTACCTAGGTCCTCTTTTGCCCAATTTTGTGCTGGAATCAAATATTCACAGCTCCTTCAAAGAGAGGCTGCGAAAGCACACAAACCTGGCTTTTTCCTTTTTTGCTCCTTTAAGATGGGGAAAAAAAACCCCCAACCCCAGCATTTTTAGGGCATTTGTTGTTGATGTTTGCATGGCACAGAGCTCAATGGGATGCTAGCCCAAAGTTGGCTTTTCTAGTACTTGCTTGCCACAGTGTAAACAATAATAATACTACTACTACTACCAAGGTTTTACAAACTTTCTCTGGATCCTGTTTAACCTTATGACAATCTATACAACCTAGAGAAAGGACAAGGTCATAATACCCCATTTAGTGGAAGTGAAATCTGAGCTGTGAAGAAACTCTGCTCAGGTCATATCAATTGCTTAACATTTCTTTTTCTGATTGCTAATTTCCAGTTTGCATCATTAGCAATTAGCACCTGGAATAAAGAACATTTGCTGAAGGCTTAGAAACTGCTATCAAACAACTTTTAAAGCTTACACTGAGCTCCCGAGTCCTCCAGCAAACTGCTGTACTAGTCCCCAACAACGAGGGACAGGGTGCAGGGGGTGAGCCTGGGGCTTGACCCAAAGCAAAGACACCCTGAGATGGGTGCCACCACACAGGCCAGAGGGGCAGAGGTGGCTGCAGCGCTGGGGGAACTGAGGGGGTAGAGAGCAAAGGGCAGGCGCCCCAGTACGTGCCACGGCACGCTGAGTCCTGGTGACCCGGGGATGCAGCATAAACTGGTGGTGAACAGGAGGGGCTGCGCACAGGAACCCCCCAGGATACAACATGGGAGCTGGCAGGGGGGGCACCAGATGGACAGGGCCTCAGGGGGAGGTGAAGACAGCGAGTTTGAGGCCCAGGACACGAGCACAAGAGAGCCTGAGAGGGAACAGTGTTAGGAGGGAAGTGCTGGGCCTGGGGAGGCACACTTGGGAGCCACGGGAGTGCGGTTCAGGGGCTGTAGGAGTTCTGGGAGCTTGGATGGGGGCCCTGGAGGAGCAGTGGGGGCTGCGAGGGCACAGGCCGGGGGCTGGAGGGGGCTGCAGAGGTGCAGGCAGGAGCCACACACACTCCAGGGGTGCAGGCAGAGGCTACAGAGGAGAAATGGGAGATCTGGGGGCAGAGAAATGGGAAATCTGGGGGATGACAGCCGAGTGGTGGGGGCCGCAGGGGCTCTGGGGGAGCAGTAGGGGCTCTGAGGGCTCTGGGGGCACAGGCTGAGGCTGTAGGGCCCTGTGGGGCGCAGGGCAGGGCTGCAGCGGGGGCCCGGGCTCGCAGGACGGGCACGGGAGAGCACGGGGGGCTCTGGAGACTCCTCCGGGGCACAAGAAACCTGCAGGGGAGCATGAGGGGCTAGGGGG